AGGGGGCCAAAATTTCGCCCCCTATAGTCAGCGATGGGGTCAGCTGACTATGCCGAGGCGCCGGCAGCCACAGCCACTCAGTCTTGGAAGGGTTGAGCCTGAGTCTGTTCCTCCCCATCCAGACCCGTACGGCCTCCAGGCAACGGGTCATCACGTCAAGGGCATCGTTGGGGTGGCCTGGGGTGGAAATGTACAACTGTTGTCATCTTCTCACCAAGCTGCTTGGCGATAGTCTTGTTGCCCATTTCAGCCTTGTGTAGGTCTACAGTCTTGTCCCTGACATCCTTGGACAGCTCATTGGTCTTGGCCATGGTGGAGAGTTTGAAATCTGTGGACACCTGTGGACAGGTGTCTTTTATACAGGTAGCAAGCTGAGATTAGGAGCACTCCCTTTAAGAGAGTGCTCCTAATCTCAGCTTGTTACCTGTATAAAAGACACTGGGAGCCAGAAATCTTGCTGATTGATAGGGGATCAAACACTTATTTAACTCATTAAAATGCAAATCAATTTATAACTTTTTGAAATGTGTTTTCCTGGATTTTGTTTGTTGTTATTCTGTCTCTCACTGTTAAAATAAACCTACCATTAAAATAATAGACCGATCATTTCTTTGTCAGTGGGCAGGCGTACAAATCAGCAGGGGTGAGATAATTTTTTCCTCTCACTGTAATATGAATGGAGTCAAATTAAATAATGTTATTTGTCAGTCATTTAAGCTGTCTGCTCTTTAGATGTTAGTTGGTTTAGTTGTTAAAAGGATTTAGCTTTTCTAAGTTTTGTGTTGAACTCCAGCTTACATAATCTCAAGGAAAAATAGTTTACTCATTGAATGGCAGGAATCCCCAACTTTTTTTGCCATGTTGACACACTTGAAAATTTAATCAAATATCATTAGGATAACTGCCACAATAAGCATGGCCCATCATAAAATATCAATTTAATAGAAAGCAAGTTGATGAGAATGTTCCCTCCTGCCCTCTCTAGCACTCCAGGCTATTTTTTTTTCTGGAGAAGTGGGCTGCAACACTGAACCATTTCCAGACAACCTGTAGCAGCATTTAGGCTCCTTCCTTCCTTCCTTCCTTCCTTCCTTCCTCCCTCCCTCCCTCCCTCCCTCCCTCCCTGAGCTCCTGCCCCTCCGTCTCAACTATGTTTGTTGAAGCCACAAGACTGGAGAAAGCCTGCAGACCAAAGTGACCACTACTCTTCCCTCACTATTTGTACACTTCTCCAGGAACACACTAGAACGCATGTCATCTCTACTGATTAAAGAAATTATTTTGCTTTACTTGCAACATAAATATATGATAATGATAAAGCAAAGTTATAAAGAATTATGAACAACTTACAAAGTATTATAAAGAACATTGCTGTCTTTATAGCTATGCAAAGCCAAGCCCAATAAAAAGTCTCATACATTTTGTTATTTAGTTAAATTACAATACATCTAGGCAGATTTGGCACATCTCAATTAGTCAATAGTATATATTAAATTTTACCAATATTTTAATGCATGCCTTATAGAAACAGCATTGTAGACATCCTGATTGGGGAAAAAAAACTAAACAAGATGTGTTTCTATAGTCATTCTATTGCTAATCAAACAAGACAACAAAGGTTCTTTATATCACACGCAACTATTGCATATATATATATATATATATATATATATATATATATATATACACACACACACACTATATATTACAAGTTAAGAGTAAGCATTTCTTAGTTATATAATGCATTCTTATGCATTCCTGCTTGGAAGTTATTCGTGCAATCAGTAGCACTTACATCAGAGTCCCAAAATAGATATATAGGGAAGGAAAGAAAAACAATAAAAATAATGAACAAGAAAGCTTTTGTAGCCATATTCCTTAGCTTAGAAAGGTTTTTGAGCAATACATTAGTGTTTCAATAGTATTAAAATATTTAAATATTATTCAGTTTATTAATTAAGATATAGAAAATATATAGTGTGATAATTATCCTAAATAACTTTATATAATTTTAAATAATATAAAATGCCAAAGATTATGAAGCAAAGAAGCAAGTAGTTCAATGCAAGAATCATAAGAGCATACAATGTCAGTTAAAAATAACTGTAAATTGTAAAACCACCATAAGTATTCTGTTGATAATAAATACAAACAGACACATAGTCGAATTGTCCTTATCAGACAACACAAGCAGATGCTGAAATGTTAAAGCAAAAGAAGCCTTGATATCAATAGATTCATGTTTGTTTTCTTACATATAATGTTGTACAATAAAGTCCCCAAATATAAAGGTATATAATACAGATGCAATACAAACATAAAAGGGAATACATTTGTTCCAAATTAATATTCTTTTCCCATTTCAGTTGATTACACAGGATGCTAACTTTAAAATTGGGATGAGGAATCTGTGGCCCTCCTAAAGTAGAATGAATAACTTGTGATGAGGGATACTAGGAACTATAATTCAATAACATTTTGAAGGCTGCAAATCCCCAATTTCCACCTCTAACACCCCATAGCTCATTTTTGGCCCTCAATCCCCCTATCTATTAGGACCTGTTGTCTGCATATGGGATTAAGAATAAAATTCTCACAAAGACTTATAACTCACTGCACTCCTTACAAAACCTGACCATCCCAAATTGAGCTGAATTTTTCCCAGGGGAGGTTAAAGAGCAAATGAAAAGCTTCTGGCATTCTGTATGTCCCTTACCATACTGGAGTAAAATGATAGATCCTGCCCATTTTACTGGTGACAAACATGGAACACAAAGGCTTTTATTCCAAAGGAAAATAAATCTATGGCACAAACTTAAAGCAAAGTCATTCAAAGAAGCAAACCAAACAAAACAACAAGAGATGTAAGCAACTGGAATTTGAACCACATGCAAAGCAGACTACCCCATGAAAAGACCTAGCATAACCACTTTATAATAGGCATCATTTCAACTGAATTATATAACAAATTATATTTGTTGTAAAAATAGAATAAATGTATTATTTTCCAATATACATGTGTTACGTGATATATGTACACACACACACACACACACACACACACAGAAGCAAGGTTTCATTTGTTAGAATTTGCTACAGCTCCACACATCACAAGTTGGCATTGACCTCTGACTGGTGTTTTTCTCCATTGCATGTGGAGAAGGGATCAAGTGATGAAGTACCAATATCAATATCAATGCCAATATTTTATGACCAGAGAGATTTCATCTTTTTCCTCACTGAGTAATTCTTCTAATCTTGAATGTCAGCTAAAAATACCTGCTGCCTAACAATAACTTTGGATATTCAGTTTTGTCCAGCGATTAAAAGGGGATATTCTTTCTTCATCAGAGTTTCCAGGAACCAATGGCATTCAGATTTGATTATCTCATTTCCATCATATTCAGTTTGGGGCTGTCATCATTTCCCCTATTATTTTCAAATGGGAAAAGTAAAGGAGTCAACTGATTAAAGTGGTAGCTCTCTGGAAATAAAAAAGAGGCTTTGAGCAAGGGATTCATACGATCTTATTTTGGTTCCACTGGCTGTCCTAATTTAGTCTTTTAGCTGGTCAAGATTTCCCCATTCCTGTCCAAAATCATATTTCCTTAATATGCTGTTTCAGCAATGGCAGCAGCTGGCTGAGATTTTATGAGCCGATAAACTAAGTGGGGTCACTTATTTCTTGCTTCGGGCAAAACTGCACTCATAGCAAACAATGAGTTCAAATTTATGGCTGCCACATTCATTTAACCACCACCACAATAAAAAAAGTAAAACCGGGTTGATCATATGATGGACCCATTTTACGACCATTGCAAGTTGTGACTGTAATAGGCAGGCTCCCTTATGATCATAACTTAAGAACTATCAGAGACAGCCTAGCAAGTCAGCTTGATTTAGGATTTCCTTGAAAACATCTAACATAGATTACATTTATTAACCAAAGTTACCCTTTCTTATTAAGTGAGAATCACATCAAAGCAAATCCTAAATTTCAATTTTAAAGTCTAAAGAATCTGTTATTCAAAACTTGTGTGCAAAAACAGCATTTCTCAGGCAGCATTGCAGACTGGTAGTGTAGCTCACAGATAGCTTTCTAAACCACACCAGCAACTATTTAAGACTGAATTGTTAATATTAGGATACAACATTACAAATACTATAATTCAGATATAAATATAAGCTGCAAGAATTAATGCTTATAAAAGACATACAGATTGCATAAAAATAATTCACACTCACCTTGCACAATTTGACAAACTGAACAACATGTATATTCTGAAAAAGAGCCACATATTTAAAAATGCTTCATTTGTGGAATCCTTGGTGCTTTCTGAGCTTTGTTGTTTACTTACAGACATTTCATTCTCCAACTGTTATATCATCAGTGCAAGCATGAGTATGGGATTTTCTCCCTATTTATATACAGTAATTTGCCCTGTTAATTTTTGTGGGGGTATAGTTTTGCTCTTGGTAGTTTTTTGATTAGAGTATTGCTTTCTGCTTGATGTTGATTCCTGCTTATCCAGATAATGTCTGATGTTGATTCCTAAATGTCTGTGGAGATCCTGTCATCCAGGTATGGTTGTCCCAAAGGTGCTTTTTCATGAGGCAACTGGACTTTCTTGTTTTTTCTTTGAAGATGTTTCGCTTCTCATCCAAGAAGTTTCTTCAGCTCTGACTAGATAGTGGGGAGTGGAACAGTTGAAATATATTTCTTGCAGAGAGCTGATCATTTGCATTCTTTTAGAGAGTCGTTGGGGCCATTTGGAGGTTTACCTGTGTCCTCAGGGTCATCTGAAAAGTGCAAATATATGTGGAGCCTTCTTGGCCCTTCACTGTTGAAGACAAGTGCAGGCTGTTGGGGATGACACAGGGCAGAAAATATCTGCAGCCAAGAAGGCTCCACACATTTGCACAGGTAAACCTCCAAATGGCCTCAACGACTCTCTAAAAGAATACAAATGACCAACTGTCTGCAAGCAATATATAAATCCTTCCACTCCTCAACATCTAGTTAGAGCTGAAGAAGTTTCTTGGATGAGAAGTGAAATGTCTTCAAAGAAAAAACAGGAAAGTCCAGTTGCCTCCTGAAAAAGCACCTTTGGGATGTTAATTCCTACTTATCCAGATATTGGCTACTGCAGAGGCTGTGTTCTGGTCTTTTTGTTTCTTTTTTAGCTTTTTCTTGTCTCTTTTGGTTTGTAAATATGTGTAATGATATGTGGGAATGACCTTGAGAGACAGGGCAATGAGATACCAAGAGAACAGTTAGTTAACAGGCAATTTTGCATGCAGCGATGGGACAAGAGCCTCAGAAGAGATTTTCCATAGTTTTTGAGACTGTAAAGGGGATAGAGGGAAATTGCTTTCAGACTCACAAGATTCTGTTAATATAAACTTATGTTTCCTATGAGGTCTCTCTAGTAAGGCTAACATCAATCTTGTAAGTCTCATAATGTCTTCCAAAGACAGGATTTTTTGAAATGGCCTCTGATCCCCAGGGGACTTCACTAACCACCAAGCACCTTGCAGCAGCATTGTTGCAACATCAGCAGCAGGTAATGCATGGGTGACCAATTTTCAAAATTTCATTATTTAATTAACTCAGTAGCTGGGGTAGTAGTTACTTCAAACTGCAACAGCACATGCAGAATGGTGAACTTTCCACTGAATACACCTAAGTAAACTTGCTAAAGGAAGCAGCAGCCAAATTCATTGTGAGGAACATTCTGGTGCTGGACAACCACTAGGGCAGGCCTTTTCAACCAGTGGTATGCATACCACCAGTGGTACTTTAGCACCTGGCTGATGGTACGCAAGCCCTAGCTAATTGCAATGGGGCAGGGAACCAATTAAAGCGGAGCCTCACAGACCTGGATGAGATCAGCTGGAACTGCAGAGCTTGGCAGAATCCCCAGGATCTGCACACGTGGCGACATGGCAAATGGAGCTTCCGGTGCACCCAGAAGAGAAGAGGAGGAGGGCGGAGAGAAGAGACGGTATAAAAGGGGCAGACTGAGAAGAGAAGAGGCTTTTCTTACTGAAGCAGTGAGGAGAGACAGAGCAAGCGGCCTGTTTTCAGAGGAAGGGTGAGTGAGTGAGCGGCGTGTTTATCAAACACATGTTTTCAGGCAAGGTTGAGTTAGCAACTGAGTGAGCTGGGCAGGAGCCCAGGATAGCAGCTACAGCTGATCCATGCTTCTGCGGAGCCTCCCAGAAACGCGGATCATCTGTAGCCCAGTGCTGATCCTGGTGCTTCTGCTAAATTAGCAAGCAGCATGTTTTCTGGCGAAGCACAAGCAAGTGAGCTGGGCAGGAGCCCAGGATCGGAGTGCGCAGCTACAGCTGATCCGTGCTTCTGCAGAGCCTCCCAGAAGCGCGGATCATCTGTAGCCCAGTGCTGATCCTGGCGCTTCTGCTAAATTAGGAAGCAGCATGTTTTCCGGCGAAGCATGAGCAAGTGAGCTGGGCAGAAGCCCAGGATTGGAGTGCGCAGCCTCCCAGAAACTTTTAACCATTATTGCAGTGTCAAGCAGAATTCAACATCCCAGTCTCAAAGTTTTTTGTTTTAAATGTGACTGATGAATATGTAATTACTGTATATAGAGCCTGAAAGGTGATTCTGACCAAGAGACATATTCACTGTAGCAGTGTTCTGCTACAGTGAAACCCAAAATAGATAAAAAAAATAATATGACATTTCACTTTATTTATCTTTAATTAATATTCAGTATAGTTAATAATTATTCTCCATTTACATTTATTCAGGAGATAGGCTCCACAAATTAACTCTATCACTATATTATATGGTAGTACATTCCATCCCATTCCATTAATTATAAAAACTGAACCAATAGTCATCTCTAACATTTGATTGTATTTAAACTTCATTGCTTTTTAGAACTATATACCAACATTATCCAAGGAATATCCTACTTTACTTGAGAGCCACTCAATAATGGCAATGTTAGTGCTTCAATATCCTCTGAATTTTCTTGTGCACATTCATAATCATATCCAGGGAAAAAATGCAAGGTAGATCTGTCACCTTCTTATGACCCCACAATCAAGTAAGTGTTAAATGCAGACACTTTCAACAGTGTCTAGTTTTCTTTTCCTTTCCTTCCCTTTCTTTTTTCTTTTTCTACTTGCTCATCCAGCCTAAAGCTTGGAGATCTCCAAGTGGTTCCCCATCCAACCACTGACCAACACTGACCCTGATTAGCTTGCTAAAAAGAGCCAAGATGGGTTAATTGAAATGCCAAGTATTCAGATCAGTAATTTCAAAGAAACTTTCTTCCTCCTCCTCCTCCTCCTCCTCCTCCTCCTCCTCCTCCCTTGCTCCCTCCCCTATTTCTCCTGTTTCTTTCTTCTCTTCCTCTTTTTTCCTCTTCCTCTTTCTTCTCCTCTTCTTCTTTCTCTTCCTCCGCCCTCCCCTCCTGTTTCTCCTTTTTTTCTTCCTCCTCTTCCTCTTTTTTCCCCTCTCCTTCCTCTTTTTCTTCTTCTCCCTCATCTCCTCCCTTTCCTCCTTCTCCTCCTCCCTTCCTGCTCCACTCTGATCAACTGTAAAACCACATTTCTGGAATTCGGATTAGTTTGGGGGTAAATATTAAGGCAGCCACAGTTTATTTTCCAAATCTGGATGAAGGAAGTTTAGAAAGCTTCAAATGGGAGGGCTTCCTTGTTCCTAGATATCAGGCTGAGGAGGGATAGGAAAATCTTTTTTTGTTTGGATGTGGCTTTTGGTGGCCTTTTGTGGGGGGAAGAGTGGAGGGTTAATGGCAGAGAGGCAGGCACAAGTTTCCCATTAAAAGTGTGGTAAGTGGATACACTTTTTCCTGTGTTTTTTTGGGAGGGTCATTAAGTTTTTGACATCTTGCTAGGCCACTGGTGGTACTCGAATATTGTCATGTCCTAAAGGTGGTACAGTCTGTGAAAAGGTTGAAAAGCCCTGTACTAGGCCAACTGCAAAAGGCACTTATCTTTACAAAATTAAAATTTAGAAGTGTTTGCAACCTATTCAGAATGAAAGAAGGACATGAATATTTGTACAGCACTCAATGCAAGATATATTAGGTTTGAATACATAGTGATGCCTTTCAGGCTAGTTAACTGTGGAGCTGTTTTTTTCTAGATTCATGAATAAAATATTTTCAGATAATTTACACAAATACATTATGGCATATTTAGATGACACCTTGGTTTATTCCAAAGATTCTCCCTTGCATGTCAATCATGTCAGAAATATATTGCAAAATCTATAGGAAAAACTCTTTGCCAAATTAAAAAATGTACATTTGACTACCTCAATTAGACTATTTAGAATACTGTACAGAATTTTAACTAAAGGGATACAGATTGATCCAGCAAAAGCATAGAAACACCCATAATGTGAAAGATATGCAATGTTTTTTGGTTTTTGCTAACTTCTACCAAAAAATCATCCCTAATTTTGTTGATCACCACTTTTTCAGTTGTTAAAAAAGAATCAGCATTCTCCTGGTCAACTTAAGAACAAAAAGCATTTTAAGAATTAAAAGTACTGGTTGCTTTTCAGATCCTTCTCTGCCATCCCAGCCCCTTTGTGGTAGAGACAGATACTTCAAATGTGGTAGTAGAAGCAGTCCTGCTCTAAGTGGAAAAAGAAGGAGTGGAAGATCTATTGCTATGTACTTAGCAGAAAATAACTATATTTTTAATAAGGATTTGCTGGTGGTAAAAATTCCATTTCAGCAATGCAGACATTTGTTGGAAGAAAATGGTTATACAAATTCCCATAGATCATATGAATTTGGTCACACCTTGGCAAACCAGGCATATTTTTTGTTCCACTTTGATTTTTACATCTTCTACATTCCAGGCTCCAAAACAAATTTCCAAATACCCTCGCAAATAAGCTGGAATATAATGTGCCACAGTCACCCTCCCCAACAACAGTGCCCCAACCATACACAATAAATCAGACCAACCTGAAAAGCTGAACCAGGGAAAGAGAGTGCATATGCCAGGGCTCCGATGGATGACCTCCAGGAAGACCAACAATTGCCTTCCTGGAGTAATATTACAGCTGTGGGGAGTAATATTACTGGGGGAGTAATATTACAGCTGTGCCATGACAAAACAACAGGATACTGGGGGGGGGGTGTGTTTAAAACCCAACATAGAGATCTCAGTGAGTTCTGGTGGTCTTGCCAATGTGCAGACATTAAGCATTGTGCTTCCTCTTGTCATATCTGTCGTTCATTAAAACCAATCCCTGGTAAATGGGTTGAATTATTGCAGCAACAAGTAAGTCTGTCACAGCCCTGGGACTATTTCCCTAGATGCAAAGATATATAAACATACTGGTAGCAGTGGATTTATTTACCAAAGTGGGTCATTTTATGCCTTGAAAGGATCTCCTAATGGTCAGGTTTTTTTGGACCACATGTTTGAAATTACATGATTGAAGATTTCATTAATCATGTAACTTCAGGCAAAGGAATTCAGTTCACTACCAAATTTTGGAAGGCTCTTTTGTACTTACTAAATATTTTTTTTAAAATGATGGGTCCTTGGTGCTCTTTGAGCTTGAGTATTTTCTTGCAGGCATTTCATTACCCAAACTAGATTACATCATCAGTGCTAGTTTATTTCTTTTCCTTGCATCATCTGACCATTAACAGAGAATCTGAGAAGGTTAATCAACTGTGACAACTGTGACTGTAAGATGTAATATTTCATATCAACAAGGCAACTGAACTGATCTCTTCCTTACAACAATGCAGCACACTCCTACTGGTATGCCTTTATTCCCAGAACCTTTCAGATTCCACTCTCAGATCTTGCCAACAATCAGGCACAAAAGCGCTGTCCCTTGTGTTTCACATTTTCTGCACAAGAGGCAAGCTGCCTAAACCCTCTTAAAGAACAACTTGAACTAGTAAGGACACATACAAAAACCCAGTAGATGAATGTAGACCAGAGAGGGCTAGAATTGCAGAAGGGGATCTGTTGTGGCTTTCAACATTTTTTTAATTCCACAAGACCTTCCAAAAAACTGGATCAAAAATGTTTGGCCCCTTCCCAATGATTAAGCAAATAAACCCAGTTACACTCAAGTTGCAAATTGCAGCATCAATGAAAATTCACCCTCACCATCAATCTTTATTGGTGAAAGAGGTATCCTCCTGCATTCTGTGTTCACAGGTAGCACTCCCTTCTTATACTGGTAAATGGGGAGGAAGAATATAAAGTGGAGGCAGTAGTAAATTCTAGACACAGAGGAAAGTGGGTGGAATACTCCTGGACTCACAGCTGCTGCAGATGGTAGCCATGACTAGAGGGCTTTTGCCCAAATTTCCTGACAGTTAGAACAATTAATCAGTAGAACAACCTGCCTCCAGAAGTTATGAATGCTCCAACACTGGAAGTTTTTAAGAAGAGACTGGGCAGCCATTTGTCTGAAATGGTATAGGGTGGGCATGTCAAACTCGGAGGGTTGGACTAGATGACCTTTAAGGTCCCTTCCAACTATCATCATCATCATCATCATCATCATCATCATCATCACCTGCTCCAATTGCACTAATTCCTAGATCAGGAGACACTGCTCATTGTCACTCATGTCTTATTCACCTCCTGATTGCATTACTGTATAAAATAAATGTATTTTATATGGGGTTGTCATCAAAGAACATTTGGGAGTTTCAGCTTGTCTAGAATGCAGTGGCACTTGTACCGATGGATGCTTCATGATGTATTTACACAACATCCAACTTACAGGTGCAATTCAAATGTTAGTTGCTTTGTTTAAAACCTATATGGCATGTGGCCAAGTAACTGTGCCACCATCTCATGTAGACAGAATGGACATGCTCCAGGTCCCATTAGTGAAGCTGGACCTGTGCTAGACCTTTGTCATGGTGTCTGTCTTATGGAATAGCCTCTCCGCTGAGATACAGATAGCCTCTACCCTACTGCCCTTCTAGAAGACTGAAGATCTGATTGTTACAAGGCAGAAGGGGCCAGGTTGTTCACCAAAGCACCAGATAGAAGGACGAGAAACAATGGTTGGAAACTGATCAAAGAGAGAAGCAACCTGGAATTAAGGAGAAACTTCCTGACAGTGAGGACAATCAACCAGTGGAACAACTTATCCCAAGAAATTGTGGGTGCTCCATCACTGGGGATTTTTAAGAAAAGACTAGACATTCACCTGTGAGACGGTATGGGTTCTCTTCTTGAGCAGGGGGCTGGACTAGAAGACCTCCAAGGTGCCTTCCAACTCTATTTTATTCTAGTTTTTATTTCTGTTTGCCACCTAGAGGTCTTTTGATAGAAGGGCAGCTCTATACATTTGCTTAATAAATCAATAAAATATATATAACAATCTTTTTTTCTTTTGTTCATTAATTTATGCTTTTTACATCTTACATTCCATCTTTAAATTTGAACCCATAGTAGCTTTTGTTGGATCATAATTACCTTTATATATAGTGTATGGAAAAAGTGTTCCACTTTTATGAAAGAAAATAAAAATTAGCTTTATTTAGGAAACAATGAGTCAATCTATAGCTAAGAGCCTGTGGAGTGATCTTTTCTAGCCTGAATTGCAGGTCTCAATCAGAAAGAAAAGAGAATTGAATTGAGAGAGAAAATGACAGCCCCAGAAGTATCCAATGACATGTTATATAGAAATATACAAAGTATATTTTGTCTTTACACAAGGAAGAGAGAAAAAAATGCAGACATTTCCTGTGCTGAATATCTCTGCAACTATTTCCTTAACAATCAGTAGGTTCAAGGGTGAAGAACCTAGCCCATGCAAAATTGAATTCCAGCAGCATTAGATAAGATAAGATAACCTTTATTGTCATTTTTTTACTGTGGGCACAACGGCACACATCAAAAATGAAATTTAATTGCCCGCTCTCAAAGTGAAACACATACATGACACACACCTAAACATACTATGAACAACATATGTATAGACCCACGCCCCTACATATACGTAGCAAATAAATATTAAATACTGTCCACCTTGAATATATAATGGAAGGAGGAAGCTTGAGAGTTCACAAGGTTAATGCTGTATGGAATGAAACTGGCTGAATCTGGATGTTCTGCTATGGATAACATTAACATATAATGTGACATTTCCATGCAGTTTTTGTTTAATATAAGTAACATCTCTGCTCCATTTTTTCCCAAAGAAAGAAGAATTAATCTTATTACTATATTATTTGGGAAGGGTGTAATGGAGTTATGTGAAAGATGCTGCACAGGTCAGGAAAAGCATGTGTTATGGTGCTGTACAGGTGAGGAAGTGTGCTTGGGGGTGTGCAAGAGCTGCCACACAGATCACAAGGGTGTAGGGGGTTGTAATATACTGTAGGCCAGGTATGGTGAGCAGACGTGCAGTTCATTGGCACGATGCAAGTGCATAGGGTCTGGGGAGGTAGCATGAATGGGGGAGATTTAACTGAACAACTTGCAATCTTCCCTACTAACTTCCCTCTTGCTCGTTCTCCCTGCAATGGGCAATCATGATTAAGTTTGTGTATCTTGCCAGCTTCCCTACTGATCATATCACCCAGAAGTATGGTGGTGCTGAAGCAGCAGCAGCATAGCAGTGGCACTAAAGCGGCCATAAGTTTCCCAAATTTCATTCTGCAAGAGCAATGGGTCCCAGTATTGTGTAAATTGATCTGTTTGAGGTACCTTGGTTCAAAAATTGCTGCCTTATGACTCACATTTTGCCCAACTGAAGGTTACAAAATCATTCTAAAAATGTCCTTTAGTATATTTGAAATTGGAACTATATGGGCTTTGGGGAAGTACAAAATTCAATGTCATTATGTCATCTTGTGTCCATTTTTAATAACTGATGATAGGAGGAAATGTTACCACTTAAGTCTGCAGGCAACTCCTACTAACCTGAACATCCAATACTGTCTGATGCAATTTTGGAAGTTTTTAGCTGACTCTGCTTGCTACTTGCCCGTGCAAAAACTGACGGGGCAGGAGAAAGTGGAATTGCAGTGCTGCTGCTCTCTCCTCTAATTGTGGTAAGGTCTTGCATGCTAAAACTCCGGAGCCTCTCTGACAGCGCTCCTTGACCCTGTGAAAATCAATAGAGATACATAATAAATTTTTGATTGTCATTTTCTTTATCTTAAGAATAATAGGTATTCATGCAACTTTTTTTAAAAAAACGCATATTGAAAATCCATTACTTTGAGGGACAAATTGGACATACTTCATCTCTCTTTCAATTAGTTTATTTTCTTCATTGCCATGTTTTTATGCATATTAGTATGTGTGCACATTTTATTCATCCTCATACTCACATGCAATTATTTCTATTTTCTGAGAAATTTATAAATGTGAAAGATTACTCCCAGAAGATTACTTGTCAGATGTTGTAGGGTTGTTGTTTTTTTTTGACAAAGAAAAAGCATTCTCTCCCAAAGTTTCAACTCCCCTATTCTGTAACCGGCAGGACTCTATTTTTTGAGCAATAATGGCATGGCATTTCTGCGATTCATCTTTCCTTGCTAGCATACTTGAGGACTTTATAAGCAGGCCGCATCCTTACTGCCTTCTGATATGTTATGACCCATAAACTAGTTGAGGAAGAAATTGAAAAAAGCTCATTAGATCATGGGTTCATTTTGTTCAGAACCTCCTATATCACACCGATTGTTGACTGCTTCGGATTTCAGAGAGGAAAGTTTCTAACTCCTCTGGAGATGCTGGGGACTGTTGTGCAAATATTGTGCTGAAATATTGCTTGGTCTAGGGCAGTGGTTCTCAACCTGTGGGTCGGGACCCCATTTGGGGTCGATCGACCATTTCATGGGGGTCGCCAAGCAAGGTTGTCTGCCATTTTTTTTGTCCGCCATTTTTTTTGTCCGCCATTTTTTCCCCTTTTCCGGCGGGTGCCTTACCTCCCTTGGGCTGGGCCAGCTGGTGGTCGGCCTGCTCTGTCTCTGCCGCTTGCCAGCTACGCTTCGGCCGGCGCAGGGGGCGGAACCATGCATGCGCGGCGCTCCCGGACAGGGAAAGTCCTTGACTTATGACCGGTTGGGTAGTCCTCGACTTACGACCGGTTTAGTCCTCGACTTACGACCGGTTTAGTCCTCGACTTACGACCGGTTGGGGTCGCGGCATTAAAAAGGTTGAGAACCACTGGTCTAGGGAAATCTGTTTCTAAACAGTCTCACAAGAATTCTTGAATTAAATTTTATTTAAAAGGGGAAGAAAAGGAAACATGCAAAACAGTTCTTTTTAGCAAAGGAGTTAAAAATACAGAGCTATTCAAGATATTGGCAGAATTTGAAAACAACCTGTAATAAAACAAATATACAAGAAAATTTACAGATTTTTTTTTTGCTGAAAATGGAAAAAAATGAACTTGGGATTTATGGGTTTAATGATAACCCAGGGTAGAATATGGAAAGAAGGGAGCCATAATGTAACCTTAGAGAGAGGATAAAATATAAAAAATATAAAATTGCTATAAAGATCAGAAACCACTCTTAAATATTTTTTCTTTTCCCTGTTTACTCTTTCATTTTATTTCTTATTTACTTAACTCTTTTCTATTACTTTCTTTTTTATTTAAATTTGTAGTGTTTTACTTTACAAAGAACTTATTTAATAAAAAATTAAAAATATACAAGTTAATGACTGAGCAGATCACAACATGCTATTGATTTGCTACTAAGAAAGAAGTAACTGGTGTAAACAGGTGTCAATTTATAAAACACACACTGAGCTTCAGTAAAGACAATAATAATCAAAGACAATACATTTGATTTAAAAATAAGGTCAACATACTTTTAGCTAACTGATTTTTAAAATTTTACTTTCTCAAGGATTTTTTTTCTGCAATAGGTTTCTCTCTGACTCAGTTATCCCTGGGCATCAGTCCCTGAGGGGCCTGCTTGCAACGTAGCAGATATGCTGGTTTTCTTCTTAGCCTCTATTTCCAATCTCTTTTTAGTTTTCAAAACAACAAACCATTTTTCTCTAGCAGAAAGGGAGGAGTTTAAGTAATCTGATTTTGCAGGTAGGCCAAGGCATGCCATTGTTCCTTTTACAAGTGTAGATTCATTGTCTGAGTTGAATTAATGTGGATTGAAACAAATGTGTTTGGTGTCAATGAAGGTAGTATTGGAGCTGACTGACTCATTCACATGTATCCCTTTTAAAAGATTATGGGGTTAGCTAAACACTGCTCTGTCTGCTAGGATGCCCATGCTAAGAACTGATCCTTAACACAATATATAGGTTGTCCTTTGACTTATGGCTCTAATGGAACCTTCCCATTACAGTTATAAGTCATTATGGTTAAAAGGGGATCACCTATATGACCAATTTGTTTTTATGACCATTTTTTGCAGTGATCATTAAGGTACTGTCACTGTCATAAAGTGACCACTGTGGTTATAAAACAAACCATTGATCACTATGGGGCATTTTTGCTAAAAACTAGAAGACGCTGCAAACAGCCATAAATGCAGCCAGTTGTTGAGCATTTGACAAATGGTCATGTGATTGAAGGGCATTGAAACTTCAGAATCAGATCATAAGTACCTTTGGGGGGGGTCCATTATAACTTGAAATGGTTGCTAAGCAACCAGCTGTAAATCAAGGACTACCTGAATATAGAACATGCAATTATATGGATATGTCTTTGTGAAATATTTATTCATCAGTGGTAATTTATGTGCTGCTGTAGACTAAAATAGTTCTGTTGGCAATATCCTTTATTTTTTAGATTCACTTCTTCTTGCATTGCTCTATAATTATTGATCCCCTGAAATAATTATCTGAACAATACATCTGTCGTTCTGTCTTAAGGCCATATTTCTGCAGGATTAGACTTCATTAATCATTAACCAATCCTAAATTGAGGATTATCTGTGGCTGAAACTTTTGAACTGTCTCCCATCATGGCAGCTGCTGATTATAATGCTCTCCAGCCACTCAATCCATAGGTTACCAACAGAGGAATAACCATAGCCTGCTAAATATTTCAGTCTCAAAATTATCATTTGCTCTTGTTTATTTTTACATCTTGAAACAAAGATGTATGTATCTTTTGCATCCTGTGTTTCTTATTCACTATAAAACCTGTATCAATTAACTATGAAACAAAGTACATGCAAACACACAAAAACAGTATGAACTGAATTAGTAAAAACTGTCATCACTGATTTTTAATAAGCAAAATAATGGTGCTAGATATTAGATGAAATCCTTAGGAGCCTATGCATATCTGAGTATCATCATGGTTGAATGCACTGGGACTTTCTTTTCAGTAAATATACATAGGATTGTCGTTTAAGTTGTTAAATATTACTTAGGAAAAATATTATTTAAATGAAAAATACTTTCATTTAAACCATACACCAAATGGTTAGTTAGCATTATATCAGAAATAACTTTCAAGAAAATGTATTTTTTTGGGTATGTAACCAAAAGTATATATTACATGAAATTAACAGTCTTTTTCCACAAATATTTCATTAAATGCTTGAAGTATCTCAGATTGTATTTATATTATCAGTCTGTATAAATTTCTTGATATATTTTGGATGTATTTTAGTCTACCTTGTCTTCATTTTTTATAAATTTTTCACTCATGCTTCCTTTTTAGACAAAGATGGCTATATCAAAAGATTTTTAAACCTTCTTTAAAGTGTACACATTTCAGAAACTGGAAAATTATCTTTGTAACTAGATTTTTGTTTAAAACAGTAATATGAAGGATGCTTATACATAAAAATATCAACGATATGTAAAGCACAAAATCTAAAAGCTTAACAACTGAATTCACAGATTAAACTTTAAATTTCAATTTTAGTGTTATTTGAATTCAACAACTGTATTTTATATTACATAGTTTATAGGTTGGTGAAAATTCACAGCATAAGAATGGTCCCCCAAACCTCATTTTTGTAGACCCTGAAGTTTTTCAAGACTGTACCACCAATATTTAGAGCTGAATAGTAAATAATTTTTGGTCATATGGTTTTTCCCCTTTTTACAAATAATATAGAAACAAGTGCCCATATTTTGCATTGAGCATTTCCCCAAACACTAAAAAGCTCCCACAAGTGGGTTTGCTGCCTTATCACCATATCATGTCACTGCTTGAAATTCTCAAAAACTATGGCTCTGACTACGAAAAGGTCACCCACATTGGTTTAATGCCTTGTTCAAGCCTGTTATTTCTTCAGAAAACCATGGTTAAATTATAGCTTAGTGCAGTGATGTCAAACCTTTTCGAGACCGAGTGCCCAAACTGCAACCCAAAACCCACTTATGTATCGTCGGGTGCCGGGTGGATGTGGTCCATTGGGTGGGCATGGCCCATTGGGTGGGTGTAGCTGCGGTGGTAACAGCAGACTGGGTGGGACTAAAAAGTTCAATCAATCAATTCCAACTTTGCGAGATCTTTTTTTTCCTGTGAGAAGTTGAAATTGACTGATTGATTGAACCTTTTTTTTTTGTACATAGCGGCGGAGGCCTAAAGCGTAAAGGTTTTATAAAACCCAGCTGAAGGCCTAGGACTGGGGCAATGGTGCGCGTGCCCACAGAGAGGGCTCTGAGTGCCGCTTCTGGCATCCGTGCCATAGGTTCGCCACCACTGGATTAATGCAATGTGAAAACCAGGTCAGGAATAAAAGATGTATCTTAAGTTTGTAAATTTTTGTTCATAGTTTTTACATAGAAATGTTTTTAGAGATGTAGCTAAAATATTGTTTCAGGTGATTTTTTTTCCAGTAGGAATTGATCACTAAGTTAAGTGGGCTGCACAGCACAAGGCAAAAGGATGTTTTAGAGAGAATGGTGGCACATACAGTATATAACAACTTTCTACAACTTCATAAACGAGATGTAAATTTTTTTGGGAGTGCATAGCAGTTGCAGAGAGGGACACGATCCTGGAGAAAAAAATATATATAGCTGCTTTAAGGAATTGCAGAGATGCTATATTTGCACCTCCATGTGCTTCAAAGCATCCTAGTTGAAACTCTGCACAAGCCTTGTGTGTTAATATCTAAGAAATGAAATCACACAGCCACTGTATGACTAAATAATCCTGTCATAACTAAGTGAAACTAACATAGATGTAATACTGTAGTAACATCCGTGTAAACTACTACTATGTTAAATGGTACCCCTGCAATTTTTGTTACTACTGATAAAGTCATAGTTTAAAGCTGAATGGATCAAAGAAAGCAGAATGACATCAATGTCCCACAATTTACTCTTGAAAGTGCTTGTTTTAGTAAAAAAAAAAAAGATATTGGCAAGCATGCTAGTCTTGCTTGATAATATGTAGATTAGTTTAGAAGTAGATTAGTTTAGAACCTTCACAAGGTTACCTGCCCGTCTTTCAGATCCAAATGCAACAGAAAATGAAGGAGCTGGGTGATCTAGCAGGTAAAAAAAAATCCCACTGTGGCAACATATAAAACAAACATTAAGATTGTTCTGCAAGTATGAAGTCGCAGGTAACCTTGTTGCTGAAAAGCTTAATATACCATATACTCTACCACTTGTACAAAATCTTGCTATTGTCGTTACAGAGTGCTATGTATACATGTTGAGTACTGACTTCCACTATAAGATTTTTGTAGAATAATTAACAGCTAATTTCTCTACAAAGAAGAGAAACTAATACAATGTATGGCAGATTCCACCACTTCTTCTAAAGGGCATTCAGATACTAAATAATACACAGTTTAGATGTGAAATAGTCTTATCTTCATAATAATAAGAAAAGAAAAACAAGATCCTAACTGGTAACTGAGTTTTATATTTCCTATCAATCTTTATCCTCTAATTCCAATTAATACTTTTCTTATAACTATTTATATAATTAACTTATTAGGCAATTAGACCTCCTCTCTGTTTGAAAGCATAATATAGCAAACATATCCCTTTTGTCCAATGTGTAATAATCAGGATCATCTGACATTTAATTGTTACATGTTATTAAATCAATGCAATGAATCAATTGAAATGAAAAATAACACTTTTATAGATAATCCCTGATTTATGACCATTCATTCAGCAACTGACTAAGTGGCTTTGGGTGCATGGAGCCTCAGGATCTGAGATTTTGTCATCCTTAGTTCAGAAGGAGTTGTACAACCCTATTCACACCCACTTCACAGCTTGGGGGTTCTCCTGGATTCATGTCTCCTGCTAAAAGAGGATGGCCCATATTATATCTCTGCTCTGTGAACTTCACTGGCTACTGGTCTGTTTCTTAGTGCAGTTCAGAGTGTTGGTTATGACCTTTAAAACCCTTAATGTCATAGGTCCAGACTACCTGATGAACCATCTTGTCCCACTAGCACAAGCCTATTCTACTTGTGCTGGCAGAAAGGGCCTACTGTGGATCCTGTTGGTCAAAGAACTGTTGACTATCGGAATACAAAAGAAGAGCCTTCTCTACTGCAGCGCCCACCCTTTGGAACATTTTGCCCTCCAGGGCAATCTGCTCCCACCCTCCTATCCTTCTGCAAGCGCCTGAAGACCTGGCTCTGCTGACTGGACTGGAGACCAAATGGGGGAGTTCTATGTTAGAGGTGGATGCTGGATTGATGGCTGACTCTACCTCCCACTCCCTTCTCTCTGATTTCCATCCATCCACTTTTTTGGTTATCATATTGATATATTCTGATTGTCTCTTTTCCATTGTTTATTTTATTGTTCTACAGTATTTTACTTCAGTTTTGTTTACACTCTTATCATTTCTCCCTTTTTATTCTTGTAAGCCGCTTACAGTAGCCCCATGGAGAGATAGGTGGTAATTAAATTTAACAATAATCTGGCTGACTGTGCAACAAAGCAGAACTGTTCAAAATTACAACAGCACTGAACAAAGGGATATAAAACCCCCTCCTGAAGTTCCAACTGTTGCAATCCTCCTGTGGTCATGTGACAGAATTTGGGGCACTTGGCAGCCTACAGGCCCTTATGGCCACAGGAGTGCTGCAATTTCCACCCATGAGCTGGAAAGCTTTTACCTGCTAGGGCCACCAGCACAGCCTGCCCCCTGTCCCACCAGTCCCCAAGGCCTAAATCTTTTCTCTGCCAGCTATCTGGTTCCACTTACCTTCCCTTTCTGTGCAACTGCTGACAAGTACACCCAGCCAACGCAAGGTATGCCGACTGCAGAAAGCTAGCCAACACAATGTTTCCAGAGATAGAAAGAGGCTCATAATATTGCAAGGGCTGGGGCTGGCTAGCTTTCTGCAGTAGATGTACATCTCATTGGCTGGGGATTCTTGTCAGCAGCTACCTGAAAAGGGAAGGGAAGTGGGTCTGCACAACTGGATGACGAGAAATCCCAAGCTTTCCAAGAAAGTGGTGTGGTGGGGAAAAGCCCCAAGAGTTCTGGGAAAGGTGGGGTGGGAGGATACCCCATTTGCTGGTGGGATTGCTGACCCAGGGCTCCCATTCCATAATAGACTCCCACACACTGAAAGGCATAGCTGGCCAAGACCTCCTGGCCTGCGACAGGTTTCCGCATACTGATGGGTCTAGCTGGCTGAGGCCTTCTGGTCTGTAGCAGGTTTCTGCATGATGGGAACTGGCCTCCCAGAGCCTCTCCCATCCCAAGGTGCCCCTGTGCAGTTGTTTAACAACTGCAACAGGGGAAGCTGGAGTTGCAGTTGTTGAATGAGATGGTCACATTGGCACCTAGTTTAACAACTGCAATGTCTTATGACCCAAATTGTGGGCTCAATTGTTCTTTTAAGACTATCTGTATCAGTTCATTCTTCATTATCATACAGAAATTGTAAATGTACATACAATTATTCCCACCTCTTTAAATAACCTCATTTTCAACACAAAATGTTCTGTTCAGGTTTTTAAATATTATTTGGGAGACATTTTATATAAAATCGATTTAGAGTTTTTTACTTTAATTCAACAAAAAAGAAATAGGTTAAATGAAGATTATACTTTTTTTGAAACAGAAATCCCTGAAAAAGAAATGAAATAATTCTGAAAACTCTTAGATTTATATTTCAAGCCACTACACTTGTGGGTACATATTGTTATTAGTCATTCTTTGTGGAATTAGCTTTAAGTTTTCCTAAGTACCGGTATAATATTAAATTTTGCTGTTAATCACCTTGGAAAGAATGTAATTCTTAGGGCCTTGTGTCTGCATGTACTGAGACATTTGTGGTCTTCTGCTATTGATGGCAAATGGCTTTAGAGCTTCTGATACTAAGCATTGCTCGTGAACCAGTGTCTGAATGTTCTCACAGCCAAAGAAAATGGTAGTATTAAAGTAACTCTCATATCCTGAATTGTCCTACTAGTTACCTTGGAAGCTGCCATTACAGCAGCTGTGGCTGCAACATTTAGCCCCCGTTTCCCAAAATGCACCAGGGCATCATAGCTGCGATCTTTTGCTTGGACTAAGCAATCATCTATTTCCTGTCAAAAAAAAAAAAAATCCACAATCAAACTCAAAAGAGTTCAAATAATTTTTTCTTTCTCTTACTTATCAAAGAGAAGATATTTCCATGCCTGCTCTGCATACTTTTTGGTCCCCTTCTCAAAGAGATCACAATGATAGATCAAAACAATTTAAACAGGGTCTGGTTTATGTAATAATAATAATAATAATAATAATAATAATAGTAATAGTAATAGTAATAGTAATAGTAATAGTAATAATAATAATAATAAAGTTGGAAGGGACCTTGGAGGTCATTGAGTCCAACCCCCTGCTCAGGCAGGAAACCCTATACCATTTCAGACAAATGACTGTCCAATCTCTTCTTAAAAACTTCCAATGTTGGAGCATTCACTGCTTCTTGAGGCAGGTTGCTCCACTGATTAATTGTTCTAACTGTCAGGAAGTTTCTCCTTAGTTCTAGGTTGCTTCTCTCCTTGATTAGTTTCCATCCGTTGCTTCTTGTCCTGCCCTCAGGCGCTTTGGAAAATAGCTTGACTCCCTCTTCTTTGTGGCAGCCCCTGAGATATTGGAACACTGCTATCATGTCCCCCCTCGTCCTTCTCTTCATTAAACTAGACATACCCAATTCCAGCAGCCGTTCCTTATATGTTTTCATTCCTTATATGTTTTAGCCTCCAGTCCCCTAATCATCTTTGTTGCTCTTCTCTGTACTCTTTCTAGAGTCTCAACATCTTTTTTACAGCACGGTGACCAAAACTGGATGCAGTATTCCAAGTATGGCCTTACCAAGGCATTGTAAAGTGGTATTAACACTTCACGTGATCTTGATTGGAACACTGCTATCATGTCCCCCCTCGTCCTTCTCTTCATTAAATTAGACATACCCAATTCCAGCCTTTGAGATATTGGAACACTGCTATCATGTCCCCCTCATCCTTCTCTTCATTAAACTAGACATACCCAATTCCAGCAACCGTTCCTTATATGTTTTAGCCTCCAGTCCCCTAATCATCTTTGTTGCTTTTCTCTGTACTCTTTCTAGAGTCTCAACATCTTTTTTATATCGTGGTGACCAAATCATGCATCTTCCTCATTGATGAAACAATTATATGAGAGGAGTTGTCATAGTTTTATCATAAAATAAATATTCAAACTTGGGAAACTGAAGTTTCTTCCATTCCACTTTCAGGATGATGTCTAAGTCATAATTTGTTAGGTTTGGGCTTAACATGTTACATGAATTTAACAACTGTAGCTTGGTGACCATGCTTTACTGCTTAATATAATATATCAATCTACTTAGAGAAATAAAATGAATAATTACTCAGCTCTCCCTATTCACATGTTCTTTTTAATAGAAAAATAGGGATATAAACTTGCAGTGTAGGTCCTAATTAGAGTGATGAGTAAAAAAAAAAGCAAAGCTATTTTAGATCCTTAGGGAACACCTGATTCCAATACAGATACTCAGAAGTTTCCTTAACGCTCAGTCTGAAGAAGAATAATCCACAAATTATACCCCAGAAGCAAGCATGATATAAAAGTGCTGTAGATAAATTACTTTCCAAAAGGATAGGTATATAGATCATGGCAAGCCACCACTTGTTTAACCATTGTCTGATAACTAAATTTAATTAGCTGAATTCACACAATACACTAAGCCAAAACAAAACCAGCAATTTATTTAGTATTAAGATGCCAACTTTTGCCACCTCTGTTTGCTGGTGACAAATGGGGGAAGATTATTATTGTTCTGTCAATGTGGAGATTGCTGAATTAAAAGAAATGAAGGATAATAAAGGGGTACATGATAAATGAAGGATAATAAAGGGCTCTTGGTAGTCCTTTTCATTTTGGAAGTGTCATAGTGTATTGGATTGTAACTCCCATAATTCCCACCTGGATAGGAATTAAAGAAGCTGTAGCTCAATGTAATATAACTGAAAAATACCAGGTTGGACAAATTTGCATTACAAATCTATTTCTCATATGAGCTGTTCTTCAAGATTTCTAACTGACTGTTCCAATTGCCTCTGAAACATTTGTAATTTTTTTTTTCAATAGCTGAGATCATTGATTACGCTGACAGTCATCCCATTGGGAAACTGCTTTTTTTGGGTACTGATTTGTAAAAACAAGTCAATCAAGAAAAAAGTAACACCTACTGAAATAAAACCTTTCTGAAAGGAATGCAAAACGTGTAAGTAATATTATATCTATCCAACAACTAATTCAATAGTTATCATTCAGTTTGATGAGGCTAACTAATGGTTAATGGTGTCACAGCCTAAAAATATTCATAAGCTTATCTAAATTTATGAGAAATAATATCACTGACCTTTTCTTTTGAAGATAAAGTTGGGTGTACAAATTTCCTATATAGAAGACTGGAGCCCTTTGTGTACGGAGACAATAACCAAGCTACAAAGGCTATTTTGAGTTCATAATAAAATGGGAACCTACAGACAAGGAAAAGAATATATTTTGTTGTTCTTTTCAAATCAAGTTCCCTGGGAATTTTTAAAATTTACCAATAAAGTAAATTTATAAATGTTTGAATGTGTGCATTTATGCTAAGCCACACCCATACCTAAATCTCAGGTAATATGAATAGGAAAGTCTGGAAGATTTATCAATGCTTCTTGTGATTCTTGAGAGTTTATATTGCATTCTAGGGCTATAATTTTTCTTCTTTAATATGACTTTTAGAAATTCCTACAATGCTCCTTTTTCAGATTGATAGTTGCTTTATGATATTGGCATCCAAAAATATTTCTCCTTGCAATTTGGCTTTTGCTAATGTCTTTAAGCGCATCTTCATGTATAACATGAGTCAGGAGTCCCGCTCACAAACCCATGTACAATGCCTCCACTAATAAAATGAAGAAGACCACAACAGGTAATCTATCCTCCCTTCTATTTGAGAATGCCATGTGAAGTCTCACTGTTCATTCATTCCTAAGTACAGTAGGACATATCAATGGTTATTTCCATCCTAGTTGTTCCTTGACAACTTGCACAAATTTCAGTCCAGACTAACGCACAAAACCTGTTTCAAGATGGTAGCAATATTCAGTTCCACATTTCTTACAGGAAAAAAGTTCTAGGAGAGCAAAAGCAAACGAAGTATCTCATATATCCTGATGTTCAGTTAAGCAAAGGCAATTGTGCAAGATTACAATGAGCTGAATCCTTGGCCCTCAAATGTCACCTGAGTACTGATAACAAAAAAGCAAGAAGTTATAGGTTCAGTTTCACCTTTCTCACAATTCCACTGGTAAATGTACTGTTGTAGATCTCATAAAGTTTGTTTGTTTGTTTGTTTGTCTATAAAATTTATTGTCCACCCATCTTACCACAGGGTAATTCTGAGTGGCTTAAATATGCATATTAAAAGTGACATGCAAGATATTCATGCCTGATCATTCCTTCTACCTTTAAGATTCCTGTCCTTATTTTGCTTCCTACAACCCCATTCTCATCTTCATATTCTTCCTGTATTTTCTTCTATTTAGGACTTTCCCAGGACCAATTTTAATATAAGAAATAAGCAACCATTTCTAAATTCCTGGGAATTTAGAAACATTCTCTGTGCTCTAGTTATATTTTAGTATATCTGCATTCAAAGACATACATCTATGTTGTGCTTATATGCAGAAAAATTCAGGATTCAACCACTTTGCAAACTCAGACATACTTAATTTGAACAGTGAGGCACATCTACCTGCTTCTTTCTTCAGGTCCTTCTCAACCTCTGTCACCTACCTGCCCTTTTAAAATGTGGAAGGATTTTTTATTATCTTATATGCTTTTTATTATTGTATATGCTTTCATTCTTGAGAACATGTTTCTTCTTTTTTTGCTTGCCTATTATAAGACAAATATCATTGTTGTCCAATCCCAAAAGATTTTATTGATATCTTCCCCATACACATGCCAGAACTGCATCTTCATAACGTACATCCTTCGAAGAATTGCATTTTTTTTCTCAGTAAATAAACTTTGATTCACAAACTGTAGTGGTAGTTCTATATAAACCACAAGTTTCTCAAGAATGCTAATGATTGGTATGTTTACAATTTTCCCCTTTGAAGTGGGATTTTAGAGAACAACAATCAACAACATTGACATTAACACTTGGCATTTCTGAAAGGAAGTGCCACGCTTCCAGGACAAGTATTCCACCCACCTAGTATCATTGGGTACCTAATACTTTCTACAGTGTGTGCCTGTGTGTGGTCTGCTTGCTCTGTTCTAGTTTTCTTCTGAAGAAAAATACATTTCAAAGGATACCAACCAGCAAAGAAAAATATCTGTGAATGTCTCTGCTGTTGTGAAGAGTGCAAATATGATCCAGTACATCATCCATTTCACCTGAAAAGAGAAGCATAATTAAAAGTTTATCTCATACTTCCAAACTTATACAGGTGCTATTTCCTTCCTTCCTAGCACTAAGACCAGGCTTACTAATAGACAAGGTGACATAGTACTACTTCAAATAACAGATTCGTACTCAGTGGTGGGATTCAGCCAGTTCACACCTCTTCGGCAGAACCGGTAGCTACTTTTTTGTTGCCCAGGCCCAGAATAGACTTCCGGAAGCGGCATCCACACAGAGAACCGGTTGTTCACATATTTGAATCCCACCACTGATAGTACTCAATAGTAAAAGCAGAACCAAATTTATTTATTTATTAAATAATAAATCTTTATTGATTAGCTCTTGGGCCATATCAAAGTGCAAAGTTCCAGCAACAAATCATTACCAAAGTCTGATAAAAGCAATTTAAAATAAAATTTGATAAAATACAGTTTAAAATGGAACTAAAGTAAAATATGACTTAAGATGAAATTGGAGTAAAATACAGTCTAAAATGAAATTAAAATAGAGTAAAGTAATTTAAAATATAGATAAAATATGATAAAATTATATCTTGGAGTCACCCTTGCAATCTACCCCAATCAGTCCCAATGTCATGTGTCTGAGTAACAAAACACTTAAAAGGACTTTCAGGCATGTTTTCTCCTAAAAGCTTTTATTAATGTTAAAATACATCAGCACGGCATGGAGGAATGCTTAGAACTGCTTATCTTCCGGTACGCCTAGCATTCCAGACATTGTCCACTCCCTTATTGTAGGGTCATGGTTCACATCTTCCAATCAACTTGAAAGATGTGATTTACTTCCGGT